ATTAAAAACACTTGTTGTTAAACTCAAATACCGGTCTAGAACGTATTGGGGTAACAGTATGCACAGCAGCAATTAAATCATCAAATACATATGATTAATATTTAGTGAAAATGAATTAGTAGTAAAACAAAGGTGCTAGAAATGGTTTATTATTAAAGAATTGCCGTACTAAAAAACACAATATCCATGTAGTGAACGTATACGTGAAAACACCTATAAATAGTTTAGTTCTAAAAAATGGGGTATATCTTACCCTATAATCACAGTGATATATAGGGGTAGGCAAACAGCATATGTGGAAAACCCAAAATAAACCGTATACAGTGCAGATGGTTTGAAGAATTCAAGTAACTACACTCACACGAGGTGGAGCCAGATAATATGAAGGCTCAATTGACATAGGTTTGCCTTTTTAGGTAGCAACACACCTCTGTTCAGGTTCAAATGTTTGCTTTTTCATGAAGTATCTGGAACCTCCAGGGTTAAGTCTGCATTACACGCTCACCACACCCTGTAGGTGTAACAGATTTTCCTCTGGTTTTATTGATTTGAATGTCTTTTTTCCCGCTTTCAACAATGGCGTTTCATCAAGTGAGAGACGAGGTGACCTGCTCTATCTGCACAGATATTTATTCAGATCCTGTAACTCTGACATGTGGACACAGCTATTGCCAGGTCTGTATCACAAGAACATGGGACATCCAGGAGGAGGACAAGAGAGGATATTCCTGTCCTGAATGCCTACAAGGGTTTAGAAGAAAACCTGAACTTAAAAGAAACATGAATCTATGCAATATAGCTGATCTATTCGTACCCTCAGAACCAGTGCAAAAAAAGGCTGGGGTCCCCTGTACTTACTGTGTTGAATATCCTGTACCTGCTGCAAAAACATGTCTGCATTGTGAAGCTTCTCTGTGTCCCACTCACCTGATGGTCCACAACCAGTCAGAAGAACATGTGTTGACTGAACCCACCAGTTCTATAGAGAACAGAAAATGTTCCATCCACAAGAGAGTCCTGGAGTATTACTGTTTGGAAGACACTGTCTATATCTGTGTGTCCTGCTTGCTGGCCGAAGAGCACAGAGGGCACCAGGTGGAGACCTTGAATGAAGTAACTGTGAAGAAGAAGGTGAAACTGAGAAATATTCTGGAGAAACTGACCTCAGAGATGGAGGAGGCTGAGAAAAGACTACAAAGTCTGCAGGAACAAAAGCAACATATGCAAGATAAAGTAACCAGAGTATCAGAGAAAGTCACTGCCCTCATTGTGGGCAGTAGGCAACAGCTAGAAGATCTACAGGAACGAGTCCTCTGTGAGGTTTCCTTACAAGAAGAGCAGGTCTTACTACAAGTCTCAGATCTAATCCAGCAGCTGAAAATAAAGAAGGAGGAACTGTCCAGGAAGATAGGTCACATCGAGGAACTGTGTAACACAACGGATCCATTAACTGTCTTACAAGGATGTGAATCAGACAGCGCTGACTATTGTGAATCTGAGGAGAAAAAACATGGGGACCGAGAGAGAGTTGATAAAAATCTCCAGGTTGTAGAAGATCTGGATGTGACTTGGATTTCATCAAAAGTATATACAGGTTTAGCTGCTATTGTGACTGAATTAAAGAGACAGCTGGATATAACAGATAATCCAGGCAAGTTTCTAGAATTCAGCCGTTTTTCAGATATGTTCCCAGATATAAATGTACTTCGAGACATAAATGTGAATGTTAACACACATTCAGACATGTTGCTAGGGGTGAATGTGGGTTCAGGCATAGCACTGGTTATAAATTTAGCTTCAGACATATTGCTGGATGTGAGCACGGTGGGTAATAATGTAACTGTATCAGGTGACTTGACAACTGCCTCCTGGTCAGAAATCAGCATGAGTCGCCCACAAACACCAGAAAGATTTCAGGTGTCCCAGGTTTTAAGCTCCAGGAGTTTCTCCTCGGGGCGACATTACTTTGAGGTGGAGGGCAGTGAATCAGGGGAATGGATTATAGGGATGGCCTATCGCAGTATAGACAGGGAAGGAGGTCAGTCATACATTGGGAATAATAACAAGTCCTGGGGTTTGTGGAGATGGGATCAGAATCAGTATTACATGAGACATGACCTTAAAGTTATTCCACTACCTCAAAAACCTTCCTGTCAGAAATTTGCACTATATCTAGACTACGAAGCTGGTCACCTGCTATTTTACGAGCTGTGTGAGCCCAGCAGGCAGTTACACACATTCACAGTCACCTTCACTGAGCCGCTTCATGTTGCATTCTGGATAGGGAGACGTGGAAAGGTAAAATTTAGAAGCAAGGTATATTAATACAACAAAGTTTATTTTATTTATCTTAGAATAAATGCGAATGTTTTGTTCTTGAATACCATGGCTACCACATAGCCTTTTACATCCTTGCTCCATCTAACCTTTTCTATTTCACAATGTGTCCTGTTTGTCTTTGTATATGTCCCTTCTGCTCATGGTTTCTATGTTACCTTCGGCTCATGGTGTCTATGTTACCTTCGGCTTATGCTTTCTGTGTTACCTTCGGCTCATGGTTTCTGTGTTACCTTTGGCTCATGGTTTCTATGTTACCTTCGGCTCATGCTTTCTATGTTACCTTCTGATCATGGTGTCTATGTTACCTTCTGATCATGGTTTCTGTGTTACCTTCGGCTCATGGTTTCTGTGTTACCTTCGGCTCATGGTTTCTATGTTACCTTTGGCTCATGCTTTCTATGTTACCTTCGGCTTATGCTTTCTATGTTACCTTCGGCTCATGGTTTCTGTGTTACCTTCGGCTCATGGTTTCTATGTTACCTTTGGCTCATGCTTTCTATGTTACCTTCGGCTCATGCTTTCTATGTTACCTTCGGCTCATGGTTTCTATGTTACCTTCGGCTCATGGTTTCTGTGTAACCTTCTGCTTATGGTTTTTGTGTTACCTTCTGCTCATGGTTTCTATGTTACCTTCGGCTCATGCTTTCTATGTTACCTTCGGCTCATGGTTTCTATGTTACCTTCTGATCATGGTGTCTATGTTACCTTCGGCTCATGGCTTCTGTGTAACCTTCTGCTCATGGTTTCTGTGTTACCTTCTGCTCATGGTTTCTGTGTTAACTTCGGCTCATGGTTTCTGTGTTACCTTCGGCTCATGGTTTCTATGTTACCTTCGGCTTATGGTTTCTATGTTACCTTCGGCTCATGCTTTCTATGTTACCTTCAGATCATGGTGTCTATGTTACCTTCTGACCATGGTTTCTGTGTTACCTTCGGCTCGTGGTTTCTGTGTTACCTTCTGCTCAATGTTTCTATGTTACCTTCGGCTCATGCTTTCTATGTTACCTTCGGCTCATGGTTTCTGTGTTACCTTTGGCTCATGGTTTCTATGTTACCTTCTGCTCATGGTTTTTATGTTACCTTCGGCTCATGGTTTCTATGTTACCTTCTGATCATGGTGTCTATGTTACCTTCTGATCATGGTTTCTGTGTTACCTTCGGCTCATGGTTTCTGTGTTACCTTCTGCTCATGGTTTCTATGTTACCTTCGGCTCATGGTTTCTATGTTACCTTCGGCTCATGCTTTCTATGTTACCTTCGGCTCATGGTTTCTATGTTACCTTCGGCTCATGGTTTCTATGTTACCTTCGGCTCATGCTTTCTATGTTACCTTCGGCTCATGCTTTCTATGTTACCTTCGGCTCATGGTTTCTGTGTTACCTTCGGCTCATGGTTTCTATGTTACCTTCTGCTCATGCTTTCTATGTTACCTTCGGCTCATGGTTTCTGTGTTACCTTCTGCTCATGGTTTCTATGTTACCTTCGGCTCATGCTTTCTATGTTACCTTCGGCTCATGGTTTCTGTGTTACCTTCGGCTCATGGTTTCTATGTTACCTTCTGCTCATGGTTTCTATGTTACCTTCAGCTCATGGTTTTTATGTTACCTTCGGCTCATGGTTTCTATGTTACCTTCTGATCATGGTGTCTATGTTACCTTCTGATCATGGTTTCTGTGTTACCTTCGGCTCATGGTTTCTGTGTTACCTTCGGCTCATGGTTTCTGTGTTACCTTCTGCTCTGGTTTCTATGTTACCTTCGGCTCATGCTTTCTGTGTTACCTTCGGCTCATGCTTTCTGTGTTACCCTTCGGCTCATGCTTTCTGTGTTACCTTCGGCTCATGCCTTCTGGTTTATGTTACCTTCTGGCTATGTTACCTTTTTGGTTTTACCTTCGGCTCATGGTTTCTATGTTACCTGTGTGTCTACCTTCGGCTCATGGTTTCTGTGTTACCTTCGGCTCATGGTTTCTGTGTTACCTTCGGCTCATGGTTTCTATGTTACCTTCTGCTCATGCTTTCTATGTTACCTTCGGCTCATGGTTTCTGTGTTACCTTCTGCTCATGGTTTCTATGTTACCTTCGGCTCATGCTTTCTATGTTACCTTCGGCTCATGCTTTCTATGTTACCTTCGGCTCATGCTTTCTATGTTACCTTCGGCTCATGGTTTCTGTGTTACCTTCGGCTCATGGTTTCTGTGTTACCTTCGGCTCATGGTTTCTATGTTACCTTCTGCTCATGCTTTCTATGTTACCTTCGGCTCATGGTTTCTGTGTTACCTTTTATACTTTGATTCTCCACTCCTCGCTATATGCTTGTTTTGTGTGTCCTTTCTTTCTCTTCTGCTACTGTCTCCCTCCTTCTCCTAAACACTTTTTTGTTCCTGGTCACCTGTTTTGTTTTATTTCTGCCTCTCTTTGTTCACGTGTGACTCCCGATGTGTGCTCTGGATGGCAGCAATGAGTGGGCTGTAGTGGGTGATGAATACCCCGGGCATTGTGTTTTGGATTCCTACACTGGCACTAGGTGTACCTCTTTATAATGACTTTCAATGTATATAAAGTGATCCAGTTCCTCGATTACCTCCCTCACTCACTTTGTCCCCAACACAGAGCTAAATTTAGCTGTTAGACTAGGCGACTTCCTACAGGCACGAGTATGACAGGGATTCTGGAAGTTCCTACTCTCCCATTTTACCTCTTTATATGTTAATGTGTATTCAATATAACCTGCGGCACAATCTCAATGGGAAGGCAGGGACAATTGCTTCCAAAGTGCTTTCACGCAGTTCCCGTACATACCAACATTTATACGTGGTGACACAAGTTATACTATCATTCACTCTTTCAATATATTAAACTTGTTTTTTTTCTGGAGACTTTCTTTGAATGGGTTTGGATGAGCTGGGGAGCCTGAGGAGTTTGTGCTATAGGCACTTACATTCAGGATACAATCTGCATACTGTGTTGGTGAATGGTATCGCAATAGGAACCAGGAACGACAAATTCTCCAACGTATAATATAACTTCTTAGCTCGTTGCATGTTTATAGGTGTCATTTTAGATTGACACCAGATCATATTATACACAACATTATCGATAAATAGAGAGAGAGCAGTGTGATAATGTGACAGTATGCATTAATAGTAATCAGCTGACAAATTGAACGGGTGGTGATGGGTGTAAAATCCTTCTGATAAAATCTGTGACGTGATCTGTGTATAAAATAAAATAATGTAACTACTAACAAATAAATTATTTACCTGTCAAATCCTACTCGGACTATATATTATCTTTCTTCTTGGCAGATTAGACTTTCTACGTATTAATGGATATTTAACAGCAATGTTATTTACCAGACTTAGAGAGAGATGTCCTCACACAAAGATAGACCGGATCAAAAGCAATGGGTGCCACCAAAACTTCAGTGAAATAGACGTATGATGAAACACGTCTTCGTGTAGTTCACCATCGATATGATTCCTTTTGGTTCAGTAACACATCGCAGAATTCTGACCTGATTTATTAAGACCATGTGTCGCTTGTGATCAATCCAGACAGACGTTTAATATGTGTGAATAGAATCTATAATAATCTACAATTACATCTACACATCACCCAGGGAACCAGAAGTTTGGCAAAAAAAGGAGCAGAACCCTGTGCCTTGCACATTTCTGCTGCTTCTTAGAAACTCACCGTAATGTGCACTCTGAAGGTATCACAGAGCTCCACACTAATAAAACTCACTGTAATGTGCACTCTGAAGGTATCACAGAGCTCCACACCAATAAAACTCACTGTAATGTGCACTCTGAAGGTATCACAGAGCTCCACACCAATAAAACTCACTGTAATGTGCACTCTGAAGGTATCACAGAGCTCCACACCAATAAAACTCACTGTAATGTGCACTCTGAAGGTATCACAGAGCTCCACACTAATAAAACTCACTGTGCACTCTGAAGGTATCACAGAGCTCCGCACCAATAAAACTCACTGTAATGTGCACTCTGAAGGTATCACAGAGCTCCACACCAATAAAACTCACTGTAATGTGCACTCTGAAGGTATCACAGAGCTCCACACCAATAAAACTCACTGTAATGTGCACTCTGAAGGTATCACAGAGCTCCACACCAATAAAACTCACTGTAATGTGCACTCTGAAGGTATCACAGAGCTCCACACTAATAAAACTCACTGTAATGTGCACTCTGAAGGTATCACAGAGCTCCACACCAATAAAACTCACTGTAATGTGCACTCTGAAGGTATCACAGAGCTCCACACTAATAAAACTCACTGTAATGTGCACTCTGAAGGTATCACAGAGCTCCACACCAATAAAACTCACTGTAATGTGCACTCTGAAGGTATCACAGAGCTCCACACTAATAAAACTCACTGTAATGTGCACTCTGAAGGTATCACAGAGCTCCACACCAATAAAACTCACTGTAATGTGCACTCTGAAGGTATCACAGAGCTCCACACTAATAAAACTCACTGTAATGTGCACTCTGAAGGTATCACAGAGCTCCGCACCAATAAAACTCACTGTAATGTGCACTCTGAAGGTATCACAGAGCTCCACACCAATAAAACTCACTGTAATGTGCACTCTGAAGGTATCACAGAGCTCCACACCAATAAAACTCACTGTAATGTGCACTCTGAGCCTATCACAGAGCTCCACACTAATAAAACTCACTGCAATGTGCACTCTGAAGGTATCACAGAGCTCCGCACCAATAAAACTCACTGTAATGTGCACTCTGAAGGTATCACAGAGCTCCACACCAATAAAACTCACTGTAATGTGCACTCTGAAGGTATCACAGAGCTCCACACCAATAAAACTCACTGTAATGTGCACTGTATGAGCGTATTACAGGGCTCCACACCAATAAAACTCACTGTAATTTGCACTGTGAGCGTATCACAGAGCTCCACACTAATAAAACTCATTGTAATGTGCAGTCTGAGCCTATCACAGAGCTCCACACCAATAAAACTCACTGTAATGTGCACTGTATGAGCGTATCACAGAGCACCACACCAATAAAATTCACTGTAACGTGCACTCTGAGCCTATCAGAGAGCTCCACACCAATAAAACTCACTGTAATGTGCACTGTATGAGCATATCACAGAGCTCCACACAAATAAAACTCACTGTAATGTGCACTGTATGAGCATATCACAGAGCTCCACACCAATAAAATTCACTGTAACATGCACTCTCAGGGTATCACAGAGCTCCACACCAATAAAACTCACTGTAATGTGCACTGTATGAGCGTATCACAGAGCTCCACACCAATAAAACTCACTGTAATGTGCACTCTGAGCCTATCACAGAGCTCCACACCAATAAAACTCACTGTAATGTGCACTGAATGAGCGTATTACAGGGCTCCACACCAATAAAACTCACTGTAATTTGCACTGTGAGCGTATCACAGAGCTCCACACTAATAAAACTCACTGTAATGTGCAGTCTGAGCCTATCACAGAGCTCCACACCAATAAAACTCACTGTTATGTGCACTCTGAGGGTATCACAGAGCTCCACACTAATAAAACTCACTGTAATGTGCAGTCTAAGCCTATCACATAGCTCCACACCAATAAAACTCACTGTAATAAGCACTCTGAGGGTATCACAGAGCTCCACACCAATAAAACTCACTGTAATGTGCACTGTATGAGCATATCACAGAGCTCCATACCAATAAAACTCACTGTAATGTGCACTGTATGAGCATATCACAGAGCTCCACACCAATAAAATTCACTGTATGTGCACTGTATGAGCGTATCACAGAGCTCCACGCCATTAAAACTCACCGTAATGTGCACTGTATGAGCGTATCACAGAGCTCCACACCAATAAAACTCACCGTTATGTGCACTGTATGAGCGTATCACAGAGCTCCACACCAATAAAACTCACTGTAATGTGCACTGTATGAGCGTATCACAGAGCTCCACACCAATAAAACTCACCGTAATGTGCACTGTATGAGCATATCACAGAGCTCCACACCAATCAAACTCACCGTAATGTGCACTGTATGAGTATCACAGAGCTCCATACCAATAAAACTCACCGTAATGTGCACTGTATGAGTATCACAGAGCTCCACACCAATAAAACTCACCGTAATGTGCACTGTATGGGTATCACAGAGCTCCACACCAATAAAACTCACCGTAATGTGCACTGTATGAGCATATCACAGAGCTCCACACCAATAAAACTCACCGTAATGTTTTATATATGAATGTTACTGGACATGACTAGGAACAGACTCACTAAAAATATGTCATGTGTGTAAAATCTAAGGTTGACCACTGCCCCTTGTGGTCACTGTAACATACTAGTAACAGATTGAATACCCACTGCACACCAATATGGGGGCTCGTATCTCGCATATTGTAGTTTTTCTTTGTCCCTCAAAAATATACCGCAATCAGACTTTCCTGGCTCTTCTTATTAAACAGATTTATTCTTCAGTCAGTACTTACAATGTCAACAGGTGATGGTACATGCTGGACTTCCAGAGTGGGAAGACACTCTGCCCTCGGTGTTCCGTGTTCTCAGTGTCCCATGTGTTCCCTATTGGGGGTTAGTAAGTATATAGGGGTGTATATAAAAAATACCCCTCTCTGTCTCATTAGAGATATCTTTGCCAGAAGCTCAAGGAAGCAGGCTGAAGGGTCAGTGTTAGGACCCGCTTAGGGGGAGTCTGCCTTGACGTTGGCAGACGGGCATTCCCTCCAATGGCCATTGGAGCAACTAAATGACCTCCATTTGTCTAAATATACATAGGGATTAAGGAGAGAGCGCAGGTAACTTTTTCTTTTTTTTTTACTATATATTGGGGCTGATGTGTATTGTAGTCATTGCTGCCGCCCAGTAGTGATGGGAGTGAGAGCAGGACTTCTCTTTTTGTACTTGTTTGACATGTTCATTATGAGTCTGGAGGTCAGGGGAATAAATAAGGATATCATCCAGGTATACTCAAACAAAATAATAAATATAGTCTCTGAGCATTAATAAAGTCCTGAAATTAGGGATATCCATGGGGAAAATATTCGGTTCGGCATTCCGAAATTCGTGACTTCAGCAATTTGGAACTTTGACACTTCGGAACGTCGGTACTTCAACACTTCGGGACTTCGGCACTTTGGCACTTCGGATGTTCTCTTGCAGCCGTCTTATTAGATAACTCCCTAATTCCCACGGTATCAGGGAGTTATCTACCAAAAGGCTGAAAGACCTAAATTGGTCTTTCAGCCAAATTTACTAAAACTAAGTAAAGATTACTTAGTTTTAGTCAATTCTTCCCCTACGCGCTATACCGCTATACCGTGAGTAGGGGCATGTCTAGTAAACAGTGAGCCACCTGTGGACCTATTGCCCCCCCCTGCCCCCACCCCTGAGCGGCGGGTGGGAGCCCTAAAGAAGAATAATGGGGGAGGACATATTTATTTTTTTCAGCCCCAAAAAAGGCCAAATCAAAATTCATAATAACCGTCGAACTTTGAAAAAAAAAACAGCGCAAAAAAATCTGACGTAAAAAACATGAAATTTGACTCATAACAACACTCTGATTGGTTAATTGAAAGTAACCAATCAGAGATTTATGAGTCAAATTGCACACCATGGGAAAATTCCAGAGAACTTTCCCACGCTGTGTAAAATGACACAGAGCACTCTGATTGGTGGATTTCAAGCTAATCAATCAGAGTGCTGTGACAGGTAAATGTAGAGACTTACCTGTCTCTTCATTTACCTGTCAGAGCACTCTGATTGGATGGCTTAAACCCACCAATCAGAGTGCTCTGAGCCTAATTGCAGGGCGGGACAAGGCTTTATAAGCCTTCCCCCGCCCTGCAGAGCTCAGTCTGCGTAGTGCTCTCCATGGGTGAACATGGATTATTTTTTTTTGCACTCTGTTTTTTTGCTTCTTCTTCTTCAAAGTGCTATGGGTATTATGGATTTATATTTGGCCTTTTTTTACAGGTACCTAGTTAATGGTCCCCCCTCATTATTTTTAGGGTGAGGGGGGTAGGTAGGGGTTAATTTTTTTGGGAGGGGAGTGACTAGGGGTTTGGGGACCCCTAGTCACCGGGGTTAAATTTTTATTTTATTTTTGGGGGCCAGGGGGGAGGACTATAGGTCCCCCCTTGTTGGTATTTAGGGCCCCCACCCACCTCTCAGGGCTGGGGGCCAAGGGAGCGGACAATAGGTCCCCCCTTATTGGTATTTAGGGCCCCCACCCACCGCTCAGGGGTGGGGCCAGGTGGAGGACAATAGGTCCCCCCATTATTCTAATTTAGGGGCCCCAGCCCCCACTCAGGGGTGGGGGCCAGGGATGAGGACAATTGGTCCCCCACCCTTATTGGTATTTAGGGCCCCCACCCGCCGCTCAGGGGTGGGGGCCCGGGGGGAGGACAATAGGTCCCCCCCTTAGTAACGGATCACCTGGCATACCTGCGTTGAAGGATGCTCCTAGCGCTTACAGAGGGCTCCAAGCGCTCCGCAGACACAACAACCACCGCAGACCCCATGAACCGCCGCAGCTGGGTTGGGGTCTCGCCAGGGCCGGACTGGCCCACCGGGATACCGGGAAATTTCCCGGTGGGCCGCGGCACCTGGGGCCGGTCTGACAGCCCTGATCATTGGGCTGACAGCTCCTGTGATCCCGGCGGCCGTGTGTGAGCTGTGCGGCCGCACAGAGCCCCATGGGAGCAGGGGAAGCCAGGCGGCCGGCTCACACATGGCGCCCGGGATCATTTAAAAAAAAATATATATATATATTTGCGGCAGGGGGCGGAGCTTACTGTGCGGCGGGGGCGGGGCTTAGCTTGCGGCGGAGGCGGAGCTTACTGCGCGGCGGGGACGGCTAATTGCAGCATGGGAAGCAGGAAGGAGTCCCTGCTTCCCCAACAACCAGCCTCCAGGAGCTCCAAGCAGGAGGTAAGAAAGAGGTCAGTGTGTGTGTGTGTGTGTGTGACTGTCTGTGAGTGTGTGACTGTCTGTGTGTGTGTGTGTGTGTGTGACTGTGACTGTCTGTGAGTGTGTGACTGTCTGTGAGTGTGTGACTGTCTGTGAGTGTGTGTGTGTGTGACTGTGACTGTCT